GGGTCTGGCTGTGCCCATCCCTCGCCCGCCCCGGGTCACACCCCTTGCTAGACACTCATCACAGGCATATGGGTGCTGATTGTCCTATTAGCACAGTCACACCCAGTTCTCCCGTGGGTGTCACCCGGGCTGTAGAGCAGGTTGGGGAGCCGTGACTGAAGGTTTTTTTGGGGGGGAGGGTCTTGCTATCCCCAGGCCCCCCAGCAGGGGCCATCCTTCCCCTTGGGCATAGCCTGCTGGAATCTGCCCACTGAGGGGGCAAGGGACAGCGTGACTCTATTCCTATTGGCCGTTCACAGCCCAGAGCATAGGCAGGGGGTGAGAACTTTCCTGGGGTGTCCTCCGTCCCTCCCCTAATGGCTGTGGGGGTGCGGGGCAGATCCGGGGAGAAGGAACGTCCCATCCTCCCAGCAGGATAGAGATTTGAGAGAGAGCAGTGGCTTGTGGGAGAGGAGCGGAGATTTCTGGGGGAGGGACAGGAGAGGGAACAGCCCCCCCCCAGTCACACACCCCATCTCCTCCGCCCAGGGCTCTGGGGCCTGGTGAACAATGCAGGGATCGGCATCCCCGCGGCCCCCAACGAGTGGCTGACCAAGGACGACTTCGTCAAGGTGCTGGACGTGAACCTCATCGGCCCTATCGAGGTGACCCTCAGCTTCCTGCCCCTGGTGAAGCGAGCCAGGGGCCGGGTCGTCAACGTGGCCAGTATAATGGGCCGATTGTCCTTCTTCGGAGGGGGCTACTGCCCTTCTAAGTACGGCGTGGAGGCCTTCTCCGACAGCCTCCGGTGAGTGACCAGTGATGGGGCGCCCTTTTCAGCTGCGCGATCTGCCCCGAAGGGTGGGGATGTCCCCGTGCAACCCCCACCAACACCACCCGTGCACTGACCCATGGTACAAGTGCCGAATGGGGAATACACGCCCAGACGTACTTGCTGCAACGTGCAAATAGCCCGGCCGTGACGTGTGTGTATTTCTGCACACGATGCACCTGGATCTTTGTCTCCCTCTAGTGGTTGGGCCCACGGGACTCCTGCTTGGGGATGGCCACGGGGATTGAATCTGTCACCTTTGGCCCTTAAAAACATGCGACCGACTCGTGAACCTCTCATCAACCACTAGCGAGAAGGTGCTCTGGCATCGAAGGGGTTACTGGACTCCTGCCTGGCCCCCGGTTGATCTGGGAGATACCCGGTAGTTAAGAGTTCATTCCTTCTGGAGCGTTCGCTTTGGCAACCGTGCGCGTCCTCAGGGAAGGGATGTTGCCCGAGGACTGTCCATTGCCGGCTCTGTAAGTCAGTGAAACGTCCAGGGCCAGAGCCTCAGATGGAGGAACTCAGGAAAGCGTTAGGTTGAGGGGCGCTCTGCCGATTGACCCCAGCTGAGGATTGGCCCTGAGGCCTTATAAAACCCCGAAGCGGGACGTCTTTCGCTCTCTGGTCCAGTTCACGGGGTCCAGTCTCCCTAGCAGAGGCGCAGTTATACTGGTCACAAAGAATAGCTGTTCCCATATGGGACGGGCTCGGGTGACTAATCCCCCCATGGAGGTATTCTGCAATAACTACTGCGCTTTTAATTCAATCCAAATTAACTTTCAAGTGTAGACAAACCCGAAAGCCCCTTGATTCCAGTATCACTGTGTCCGCACAGGTTGTAGAAGCCACCAAGCCTGGCCACATACAAGACTTACGTGTAGACTGGGGCTAGTTCAAGGCATGTTTCGGATCTCACCTCTTTGGGAACCAGCCCAGCCCCCAGGAAGGTGCTGTTCCCACACGGGTTAATCCTGCTTGTCCCGTTTCAGGCGTGAGATGCTGCCTTTCGGGGTGAAGGTGTGTGTGATCGAGCCGGGTTACTTCAGCACCACAATTACCAACCCTCAGAACATTATCGAGAACTTCACTCGCCTCTGGGAGCGGCTCCCCGAGGAAACCAAAGCGAGTTATGGGGAGAGTTACTTAAACGCTTGTGAGTACGTTGCCCCATTCCCTTCCCCACCAGCCGGCAGCTACCGCGCACCCTTCTCTCGTCCCCGGCCCTGCACTGCCGCAGAGCGCCCTTCGAGTCGGCGGACACGGGACGGCTACAGGGGCCGATTCTCAGCTGCCGTGCATTGTGACTGAGTGGCGTTGCACACACACTTTGCACTAGTGCAAATGGCGCCACGCTATGCACGGCATTGGGAGGTCAGACTCCTCGTTCCCGCTTAGGCCTTGTCTAGCCAGGAAATCCGGTGTTTTTCTTTTCAATCCGGCCAGCTCAGCCCAGCTGGCTGAACCGGATTGAAACCCCCCTTCTTAAATGTGGCCACAATTTAATGCACCGTTCAGAGAGGTTGGGCCGTGCTTGCGTATGGCCCGTGATCAGGTGTGTCTTTCGCACACACGGTCCCTGAGCGCTGCTGACCCTTGCAAGGGAGCAGAACTCCCACGCTGATCCCCTGAGAGTAATAACCCCCTGTCACGGAGTATTGGGGGACTCAGGGCCCTGCACCCCCGGCTTCCTGCGATTCACCATGACTCTCAGCCAGCCAGTAAAGCAGAAGGTTTATTTGGATGACAGGAATACAGTGCAGGACAGGTCTTGCAGGCACAGACAACAGGGCCCCCTTCAGTTAGGTCCATCTGGGGGTCCCAGGGCATCCCAGCCCCCCTTGGGAGGTCAGAGCAATCTCTGCCTCCCAGCCATCTCACCACCCAGCTTCCAACACTCTGCCTTCAGCGACCCCTCCCACAGCCTTTGTTCAGTTTCCCGGGCCAAGGTGTCGCCTGGCCTCCAACCCCTTCCT